AGAAGCGTTCTTGGAACACAGCCATGCCTGTGTGTTTACCTGCTGTCTGTAGCTGATTTTGTGCGACAAAAGCAGAGGGGAATAGTCGTGACAGAGACCGTATGACCTGCAAAGCCAAAGTGTTCACAGTCTGGGCCTTTGCGGAAAAGTGTTGCTAGCCTCTGATCCAGACCCACTCGTGAGCAGGTGGGAAGCTTGGGGTCTGGACCAGGGAACCAGCCCATGGCCAACAGAGCCTGGGCATTGGGGATCCGAAGACAATGACCAAGGCTGGCTCACAGCAGTATGAGAAGGCGGTGGTGACAGGATCTGACCCCAGGCTGTCTGGCTTCCAAGGCAGCAATCCTACCAAGCCAGGCTGGTCGTGCAAGATTTGCCAGAGAGGAGACAGCTGAGCCTGTCCCCAGAGCCAGCCAGATGCCACCCTGCGGGGGTTCCAGAGACACAGGGACACAGGACCTTTCACGAGGTGGCTGTGTCCTCACCCACTATGAGGCCAGGCCGACAGAGCAGGAGGCTGCCCACCGAGATGGCACGGGGTGGGGGTGGGGGTGGGGGGGGGGGCACCGACTGTCCTTTCTGTCACCTCAGGGCTTCCAGAACACCTGTTGTCCCTCATCCTCCTCACATTTCCTTCATCATTCTGCTTCTTATCCAATTAATGGTGCTTTTCAAACTTGATGTGCACATAGATCACCTGGGAAACTTTTAAAATGGAGATTGTGTGTCAACAGGTCTGGGGTGAGGTCTGCGATTCTGCATTTCTTTCTTTTGTTTTTTTTAATGTTTGTTTATTTTTGAGAGATAGAGACAGAGCAAGAGAGGGGGAGGGGCAGAGTGAGAGGGAGACACAGAATCTGAAGCAGGCTCCAGGCTCTGAGCTGTCAGCACAGAGCCTGACGTGGGGCTTGAACCCATGAACCGTGAGATCATGACCTGAGCTGAAGTCAGAAGCTTAACCAACTGAGCCACTGAGGCACCCCTGCATTTCTAACAAGCTCTCAGACAGTGCTGATGCTGTCTGTTGAGGGACCACGCTTTGGGTAGCAAGGCTTTCAAGATCAGCTTAAATGAACTTTTTTGTTTAATGTTTATTTTTGAGAGAGAGAGAGAGAAAGCAGGGGAGGAGCAGAGAGAGAGGGAAACACAGAATTCGATGCAGGCTCCAGGCTCTGAGCTGTCAGCACAGAGCCCAACGTGGGGCTCGAACCCACATTGGTAAGATCATGACCTGACCCGAAGCCACACGCTTAACTGAATGAGCCACCCAGATGCCCCGTGATCAGCTTAGATGATAGCTTCTCTTAGAAGACTTACCTAATCACATCTCCACCCCCACTCCCACCCCCATACCTCAATTCCGGGGTCCTCTCGTGCTCAGCTCTAGAAGACTTATACCACACTATATTATAATAATTTGCCTAGTGTCTATCTTACTCTTTAGGTAATGCGCTCCCCAAGGACAGGGACAAGGCCTTAGTCATTTTAGTATCACCAGAGTCTAGTGCTGTGTCTAGGACATAGTGGGTGTCCAGTAATGGAAGGCAGGGGGAGAGAATCCGTGAATGGAAGGGAAAGAAGGAAGGAGGGAAGGAAGAACGGAAAGGTGGATGGATACATCGATGGATGCATGGATGGGAGAGGAGGCGAGGAAGAAAGGAAAGGAGAGTTCTCCAGAGGTTCACTGAGGTCAAGGAGGAGTGGTAAGAGCAAGTTAGGGTTAGATGTTGGGAGAGGCTGCAGTGTTGGCCCAGAATGAGATGGAACATTCAAGAGTTGAGAGGCCCTGAGTGAGAGCAATTAGAAGCAATGAGGGAAGCATGGGGCAGCTGAGGCTGAGGCGGTGCAGGAAATCAAAGCTCATGACACACATGGGTGTTCAGCAGAGCCTGGGGCTTCTGTCAGGACATGGATAGAGCCTCATAGCCCTGGCCATCCGCCAAGCTGCTGTACCATCATTCCCTCTGCCAGCATGCCATTGGCATGTAAAACAAACATGGTGGCCATCACCCACATCTCTGCTCCCCAGTCACCTCCACCTTCCCAAAGGCTACAGAGGGAACCAGCGTTCCCCAGAAGGGAACGTATCCGTGGGTCGGGCTGGTGGGAGCCTAGAGGGGGTAGAGGGCCCTCACAAGAAGGACTGAGCCAAACATTCACAAAGGTTAGGCATTGGGCTGAATGGACAACTGGATGCCCTTCCTTGGTCCTTGGCAGATGTGGGCACATCTGCTTCAGAAGGTCCCTTTCCTAGGCCCAGCAAGATGGACTATAGCAAGATGGACACAAAGTTTCTACCTCATCCCAGACGTCATCCATTTGATGGATACACAACGTGTTTTCATAACCTTTTTTCCTCTTTAATGTAAACATAATCAGATGCTTAGTACAAAAAAAAATTGGAAAAGACAGGAAAACCCAAAGGAAATAAGTGTTTCTGCATTCTGTATCCTCTCCACTCGGAACTATAATGTGAACATTTCCTTGAGTTAATAGATATTCTTCACCAGGATGACTTTTTACCTTTTAATTTTGAAAGTTTAAGCTTCAAGAAAAGTTGTACTTAAAAAATAGTACCGAGAGTTCCCACATACCCTTCACCCAGCTCCCCCTAACATTAACATCTAGTATGACCACAGCACAATTAGCAAAGCCAAGAAATTAACATCATTGCCATTACTATGAACTGAACTACAGACCTTATCAGATTTTGCCAGTTTGTCTTGCTGGTATCTTTTTTGCAGTCTAAGAGTAGTGAATCCAAGATCCCATATTGCATCCATGTGCCCTCTCCAGTCTGACAATGCCTTGATCTTGTCTTTGTCTTTTGTGACCTTGATGCTTTTGAAGCATGCTGGACATTTCTTTGGTAGAATGCCTGTCGATTTAGGGCACCTGGGTGGCTCAGTCGGTTAAGCATCCAACTCTTGATTTCAGCTCAGGTCATGCTGTCAGTTTGTGAGATTGAGCCCCCACTGTCCCCGCCTCACCCCTCCTGTTGGGCCCTGCGCTGACAGCATGGAGCCTGCTTGGGATTCTCTCAGATCGCTCTCTGCCCCTCCCCCACCCGTGTTTGCTCTCTCTCTCTCTAAAATAAATTAATTTGAAACAATAATTTAAAAAGAGAATGCCCCTCAATTTGGATGTGTCTCTTGTTCATGACTCCATCGAGGTTTTATAAATTGTTGTAGAATAACCACGAAAGTGGTACTATGTTCTTCTCAGACCTGGGGGGGGGGGGGCGGGGGGCGGTTACAGGCTGTCAATATAACTTACTGCTGGCATAAACCTTGGTCCCTTGGGGTATTATGTGCTGCATTTCTTCACAGTCAAGTTGCTCTTTTTCAGGATAATATTTGAATGGCGGTTCAGGTTTCCATTATAGATCTCTATCATAACCAGACTCTGTCGCTGTGCATTCAGTTTGCTACCTGTTTCTGTTTGTACTGTCACAAAGAACCAAAGACCGCTACAATGACTGTTCCCGCTGGCACATCTCAACACCCATTCCTGATTATTTTGTTAGAATAAATTCCTAAAAATAGGATCACTGGAGCAAATACTGTTCACCTTTTTAAGGCTGCGCGTGCCTGGGGCAGGGTTGGTTGCTGCTTTCTATGTTTCTTTGTCTTAATCATTTACTGTGGTGTAATTTAAATACAAAATGTGCAGATTTGAGGCATATATTTCAGTGAGTTTTGGCAAGCACATACCCTTGTGTGACCCCATCCCAATCGCGATGCTAAATAGCTCTCTCACTCCCCCAAATTCCTTGATGCCCCTCGCAGTCCCCTCCTCCGTATGCCAGGCAACCCCTGATCTGATTTCTGTCACTACAGGTTAGTGTTAACCTGTTCCAGGATTTCATAGAAACGAGAACTGTACAATATGTTTTCTGCTATAAACTGCCTCCTTCAACTGGACGTAACGCATGAGGGATTCATCCACGCTGTTGTGTGTAGCAGTCACTTACTCATGTTTAGTGCTGCATGGCATTCTGTCATATAGATATACCACAATCGTTTGTCCACCCTTCCACTGAAGGGCATTTGGGCTGTTTCCAGTTTGGGGGTATGATGAATAGAGCTGCTATAGGAACCTTTGTGTACAAGCAGGCATATATTTTCATCTCTCTCGGGTACATACCTGCAAGCAAAGGTGCTGGGTCATAAGCAGGTGTGTGTTTAACTTTATCAGCCCCAACAGGGTGGGGTTATTTTCATCCTATTTCAGAGCACAGGCCACAGAGAGCTTGAAGGACTTATCCATGGGCAAGGGGAAACAGGGAAATAGGATTTGGGGAGTACTGCCCCATGCCAGGCACAGGCCTAGGTGCTTTTCCCGTTTCTCTGCGGGAACCTTCAGCGCAGCCCTGTGAGCTAGGAGTCGTGGCTCCCGTTCTGTTGATGAGGAAGCTGGGGCTCGCGATCTGACAGCAACGAAAGCTTCAAACCCAGCCCCATCTGAATCCCAAGTGCGTCCTCTTTGCCCAGAAGCCTTCCTGCTCCTTGAGGACAGTGGGTGGTGGAGTGGGAAGGAGAGCACCCGCCCCTCCTCTAGGCCTGCCCTTACTGCGCCCCGCGGTCCGTCCTGCCTGCGCCCCTGCAAGCGGGCACCATGATGCCCGAGTCAGCCCTCGAGACCAGGGCAGCCTGTGTGCAGGGCCAGGGGCTATGCCCCCACAGCCACAGCAGGCACCAGGGAGTGACCCACACTGCAACCCTCCGTCAAAAGTCTCCAGTTTCTCCCTCCATGAAATGAGATCCGTGGAGCTTTGATCCTCAGGGCTGGTGGGCAGCGGGTGAGGCCGGCGGGCAGGGGCCACGTCTCCCCGGCCACATCGCAAACCCATTAGGAGCCAGTGTGAGTGCTTTCCAAAGCTGATTAATGGCCTGCTCGTGACCTGGAACGTCATTACTGCCCAGGCTGGGGGACCCCCGTGGCCGCCTCCTTTGGGTCTTTACAGCTAATCATAATTGATGCTTTCTGTGCGGTTGCAGGGCAAGTTCTATCTGGTCATCGAGGAGTTGAGCCAGCTGTTCCGATCGCTTGTCCCCATCCAGCTGTGGTACAAATACATCATGGGGGACGACTCTTCCAACAGCTACTTTCTAGGAGGGGTCCTGATTGTTCTCTACAGCCTGTGCAAGGTGAGGTGGGCCTGGGGGGCAGGAGGGCTGGCCTGAAGAGGGTCCATGCATTTGCTGGGCCTGGCGGTGGGGGCAAGTAGGGACCATCCTACAGTGTATAGTGACATTGAGCCAGTTCACAGGGCTCTACCCCCTCCACATCTATCTAGACCTAGATAGGTAGAAATGAGGAGCTCCAGGTGGCACAGAGTGAAAATTTGGGGACATTTTCATCACCCCAAAAAGAAACCCTGTACCCATTAAGCCGTCCCTCCCTGTTCCTGCCCACTCCCCTCCCCCAGCCACTGGCAACGAGCAGTCTGCTGTCCATCTCTGTGGACTCGCTTATTGTGGACACTTCATATAAATGGAATCCTACACTCTGTGGTCTTCTGTGTCTGGCTTCTCTCACTTAGCATCATGTTTCCGAGGCTCATCCACGTTGTGGCATATATCGATAACTTCATTCCTTTCTGCGGTTAAATCCTCCCTAATTTCTTGCCCATAAAGCTCACCATATGCTCTCCCTTCACGTATTTCCATTATGACTCCTATGTTATGGGCGAGGAGATGGGGGCTCAGAGAGCAGCCACTTGGTCAGTGTCACTCAGCCCAAGATCACAGAGTGAGTGTTGAACCCGGGCAGTCAGCCTCCAAAGCCTGGAGCTCTGACCCACAGATGTGCCCCTGAACTTGCTTCCCTTCCTCTTTGGTCACACACCCTCATGCCTACACTCAGGATACAGTGCTTCTCTTTCCATCATGGGTACAAATCAGGCTCCCCCTTCCCCCCCACCCCAACCATAAATACATCCTCCTCTTTCTTCTTCTGTCTCTATTTCTGGCTCTGGAGAACCCTGGGGAAGCCACGTGTTCTTGCCTTCCCTTCCTCCCAGCAGGGCGAGCCAGCCAGTCCCTGCCCCGTCAGCCACGGGGGCTTCTGTTGCCTGCTGACCCCGATCGACTGGCAGTGGCTGGCCACAGTGCTGGCCGGCTTGGAGGAAGAGTGCTGTGATCGATTAGCAGTGCCTGTGCTGGGCTTGGCAGAGGGGAAAGGCTGTATGCGCGCCATGTACTCACTGTCCTGGTCCAGGTAGCAAGGGAGACTGTTGACGTAAGTCAGCAAGACAAATGCCACGCAAAACAGGTAGAAATGAGGAGCTCCAGGTGGCACAGAGTGCCCTGGAAATGTTCAGAGTCAAAGAGGAGGGGTCTGTGGGGATGGCTCAGGAGGGGTGAGACGGGCCCTGAACAACCCTTGGTGGGACTTTTCAGCCATCACTCTGCTCTCTTTTCAGTCATTCGACATCTGTGGCCGTGTGGGTGGAGTCAGGAAAGCCCTGAAGCTTCTGTGCACCTCTCAGGTGAGTTCACCTCAAATGGTCCCAACTGAAGACAGAGGAGCCAGGGGCTAGAAACAGCTCTCAGTGCTTCTGAGGGAATCCAGTGAGGGTCCACAGCTGGGTGTCTCTCTCTCTCCCTCCCTCTTCAAACAGAATTATGGAGTCCGGGCCACCGGGCAGCAGTGCACAGAAGCCGGTGATATCTGTGCCATCTGCCAGGCTGAGTTCCGGGAGCCTCTGGTCCTTATGTGCCAGGTAAGCAGAGCTGGGCGCAGCCACTGGGGACTGAGGCCGGGGGACCTCTGGGGCCCTTTCCCACGCAGAAGCCCCATATCGCAGTCCCATGACCAGACCTCAAGGCTCTGGGATGGGTCTCTGGGAAATAGTGGGTTCAAGGCTAGAGTCAGTCAGACCTGGGTTCAGACGTCAGGTCTGCCTCTTACGAGGCAGGCGGCCTTGGGTAAGTTGCTTCACCTCGCTGAGCCTTGGTTTTATCAGTCAAATATCGACAGTGAAAACGTCGATGTGGCGTAGTGTCAGAATGTCCTGAGTGAGAGTCCCAGCCCCACTGTGGGCCCTGCAGGAGAGGAGCACTCTGTCCTTGGTTTTTTTCTCGTTTATACGATGAGTGTCTTGTTACAAATTAACGAGATCATCTGTGAAAGAGTCAAATTTGAATTACCCACCCATAAAAATTGCTCGTGTTATAATTATTATCGTCGTTGTAATTTACTATTACTGTTTGCTCTCATTTCAAGTAGTGGGTCACCAACCCGTAGCAACCCATGCTGAACTCCCTAAACACGCCCCTCCTTCTCCTCCTCCTGACATCAGGGGCTAAGATGTCAATTCAGCAAGCATATGTGAGTCAGAGCATCCTATCGGGTACCGGAGAGGGGAGACGGAGGGCACACAGACCCTGTTCCCTCCTCTGGAAGCTCGCGGTCCTTGGGGAGACGGACACATACATAAATAACTATGAAACAAGGCAGGCAGTGATAAGTGCTGTGTAAGAGAGATTCCTGCAGCTTCCCCGGGGACCAGGACAGAGAGCAATGAGTTCCAGCTCAGGAAGGCTTTTTGCGGGAGGCCCAGCCCACCCTCTGGAAGAAATGAGAGCACAGATGCTCCCCACCCCTGTAGCCTCCACGACCTACCTTCCGGGGGTGAGAGGGCAGGAGGTGAAGGTTTTGGCATCAGCCAAACTTATTATTATTTTGGGGATGTTAGGAAGGTTTTCTTTTCCTTTCATTGTATTTACTTTTAAATGGAGAATGTGTTTGCATGATTCAAATTTCAGACTGAGGAATTCATGAGTAAGGATATCACGGGAAGTTAATGCAGCAGGTTGGATTCTGGCACAGACAGAGGGCGTGAACAGGGAAACTGGCTTGACGGAATCCAGACCAAGCCCGGAGTTCTGTGGTTGGTCATGAATCCACAGGGGGCTACTTGGCATTCAAAATGCACCACATTGGGGCACCTGGGTGGCTCAGTCGGTTGAGCGTCTGACTTCAGCTCAGGTCACAATCTCAGTTCGTGAGTTCAAGCCCCGCATCGGGCTCTGTGCTGACAGCTCAGAGCCTGGAGCCTGCTTTGAATTCAGTATCTCCCTCTCTCTTCACCTCCCCCGCTCATACTCTGCCTCTCTCTCTCTTAAACATAAATTAAAACATTTTAAAAATTAAAAAAAAAGAGAAAAGAAAATGCACCACAGTAATGCAAGATGATGGGGGGGACTGAAACTTGGTGGGTAGCTGTATGAGGACTCGCTGCATCATCTCAGCAACTGTTATGCGAGTCTTAAATTACACCAAAGTTAAAGGTTTATTTATTTTATTTTTTAAGTTTATTTATTTTGAGAGGGGGAGAAAGAGAACAAGCAGGGAAGGGGCAGAGGGAGAGGAGCGAGGGCAGAGGTTCCAAAGTGGGGTTTGTGCTAACCATAAGAGACTCTTAAATACACAGAACAATCTGGGGGTGGATGGGGAGCGGGGGAGAGGGGGAAAGGGGTGATGGGCATGGAGGAGGGCATTGTTGGGATGAGCATTGGGCATTGTATGGAAGCAATGAGCCCCGGGAATCTACCCCAAAATCCAAGAGCACACTGTACACACTGTATGTTAGCCTATTTGACAATAAATTATGTATTTTTTTAAAAAGTGGGGTTTGTGCTGACAGTAGACAGCCCTACACGGAGCTCATACTCCTGAACCACAAGATCATGACCTGAGCTGAAGTCGGACGCTTAACCGACTGAGCCCCCCAAGTGCCGCCAAACTTTTTTAAAAAATATTTTAAAGATACAGGAGGCATCTGGGGGGCTCAGTCGGTTAAGCATCCGGCTTCGGCTCAGGTCATGATCTCCAGATCTGTGGGTTTGAACCTCACGTCCGGCTCTGTGCTGATAGTTCAGAGCCTGGAGCCTGCTTCAGATTGTGTCTCCACCTCTCTGCCCCTCCTCTGCTTGCACTCAGTTCCTCCCTCCTTTGCGCGCGCTCTCTCTAAAATAAACATTAAAAATTTTTTAATTAAAAAATAAAGACACAGAAAGGAAAACAGGGACCAGCCTCCTACCCCTCCCCCAGATCCCCTTTATATCTTTGTAGAGATGCTTTATAGAATTAAAACACACGCACGCACACACACACACGTCTTTTTCTAAAAGACCTATGTTGGGGCACCTGGGTGGCTCAGTCGGTTAAGCGTCCGACTCTTGATCTCAGCTCAGGCCTCAATCTCAGGGTCCAAGTTCAAGCCCCATGTTGAGCTCTGCACTGGGCATGAAGCCTAGTTAAAAAAAAAATTAAAAAGAGCTACATTGTAATATATTCTACCCAAGCTGTGTTCTGCATCTTTCCTGTTTGACTTGAAACTCTTCAGAGATTGGTTCTTTGCAGATCATCCCATTTTGTGGATGGGCCACCCTTTGATTTCTCTTTCTCCTATGGATGGGCATTTAGCAGCTTGTAAGCTTTTGTTATTAACAATGATGGCAGCCATGAGGGGTCAGAAGTGGAGAGATCTGTAGTCTCTACCTGGGCCCATCGTGTTGAATGAATGAGTTAATTCAAGCATCTAGGACTATGTCCTGGCATGTGGTCAGGGTTCAATTAACTATCTGCTCTTATTGGCACACATCCCACCTCACACATGTGTGAGTTCTTGGTAGAATAAATTCCTAGTGGTGGAATTAGTAGGTCAGAGGGTATCCAGTTTTGACAGATATTGCTAAATTGCCCTTCATAAAGAGTGTATCCATTTACACTCCCAGTGCGGAGCGTGACGTGACCTCTCGTGCCCCTCGTTTACCAACACACTGCGCTATCAAGCCTTTTCCAAGCCTTACCGATCCGTCAGGTGACAAACACTATCTCGGTGCAGTTTTTCTTTGCATTTCCCTGACTGCGAGCACCTTTCTTACATGGTTCAGAGCCCATCTGTAGAGCCTTCTCAGTGGCGGTGATCATTTGAACATGACTTCAAGGTGAAAGTCTTACTTCTTCCTTTCTGGCAATCTCTCCCAGCCTTCGCATGTTTGTTTCTCTCTCATTCTTCTCCTGGTGCCATGATGTCTTCCCAAAGCTTGATTCGAATTCTTGGGAGGGTTGTCCCAGATCTAGCAGCACCAGCCACATGCAGTGGCGGTTGGAGCCCACAGTCCTGGCCAAGCCAGTCTCTCTCTGCTGCCGTGAGCTGGGCCTGGGAGACGATTTCCACAGGCAAAGGGGCCTCCCTCGTTCATTCCTAAGTGCTTTGAATGAATGAATGAGTCAAGTGCTTCTTCCTCAGTCAGTCTTCCCCGACTCTGCTTCTCCAGACCAGCTGGTGCTCCCAGTGGTATGGTCCCAAAGATCCTTGTGTTTTTCCTTATAACAGTTATCCCAGCTGTCAGCTAGTTATCTGGCCAACTGGTTGTGTGAGGGCTGTCTCCTCTTTGCTAGAGAATAGGCCATGTGAGAGTGGTGACCATGTCTTCCGTCTTGTTAGCAACAGAATCACAGTACTGACTCAGTATATATTGGATGGATGGATGGATGGATGGTTGGTTGGGATGGAGATGGATGGGAGCCAGGTGGAGGGGTGGGTAGATGAGTACAAAGGTGAGTGGATAGAAGTTTAAGTGTGTAGGTGACTGAGTGGATGGACAAATGGGCAGGTAAATAGGTGGGTAGATGGGGCAATGGATGGGTGGGTGGATGGATGGATGGATGGATGGATGGATGGATGGATGGATGGGATGGAGATGTATGGGAGCCAGGTGGAGGGGTGGATAGATGAGTACAGAGATGAGTGGATAGAAGTTTAAGTGTGTAGGTGACTGAGTGGATGGACAAATGGGTAGGTAAATAGGTAAATAGGTGGGTAGATGGGGCAATGGATGGGTAGATGGATGGATGGATAGATGGATGGATGGATAGTTGGAGACAGATGGATGGATGGATCAATGGATGGATGGACAAGACAGATGAATGAGTGGTTGGATGAAGAGCCTGCTAGGCTAAAGGAATAATCCTATCTCTCCTTCAAAGAGGCATCATATTAAACAGTGTGTCACTCAAACACACGCCCTGCTTACGCCCTCCCCCAGCCAATCAGAGCCCGGGAAGCGAATTGTCACTCTAAGCTAGTCAGGCAGACACGGAGCATGCCCAGAGGCTAGAACTCTGCTCAGACGGAATACGCTTGTCCGGTTAGTCACTCCACAAGTGTTGTGGCGTGCCTCCTGCCAGGCTGGGGGGCGGGGGGATCAAGGGAAGGGTGTTTTGAACGAAAAGTCAGAAACCTGGCTTATTTAAAGGATTTCTTCTCAAAGAGAAAAGTCGAAGTGCAGTTAGTTCTTGGTCACTATTTGGTTTGGTTTGGCTTGGCTTTTGAGTATTGATAATATAAAGGAAAGAGAGCAAGAGAACAGTGACCCGTATGGATTTGGGGCTTACAGCTGCCGCCCACGTAATGCATTATATCAGGCCTTACCCGTTTCCATCCTTACAGACACCTTATGGGAGAAACAGTGACCCTATTTTACAGAGAATGGGGTGGGCTCGGCAAGGTGAAAGCACAGACTTGCCTGAGACCCCCATGCCCCTCAGCAGCGGAGCCGGATTCCAGCCCAGGGCCCCTGATTCCAGAGGCCAGGACTTTCCACCAGATACGGCCTCTCGCTTTGACATGTCCTCAGGGCTGCATTAGAAGACTAGAGACCTTTTCCTGGAAATAAGAGCGTGCTGTGCCCTGTGCAGCTAAGCCTGTGC